ATTCACACCTATGCGTATTGTAATATGCGCGTCTGTCGCGCGACCGTCACGCGTTTTTTTTACCGCGATTCGCGGTAAAAAAGTCGCGCGATTCCAAAGGCTACTTGGCAGTATACAAATGGAAAACGCCCTACAAAACGGACCAATACGCAGCAAAAAACGCTCCGGGACCTTTTCATGCGTGGGCCGTTTTGTAGTGCGTTCGGGACGGGCGGAAATACGGACAGGTGGGAACTATACCATTGACTACAATGCTATTTATTTTTTTGACCGTTTTGTAGAGCGTTCATCGAGCGTAGGACGCGCTACAAAACGGTCAGGTGTGAATGGGGCCTAAAGCAGAGCCAGCCAAGCAACTAGTCTCCATGGCAGCCATTCCATTCCCAGACCCATATCGCTCTCAGCGCGAGTTTCCTTTATAAATGAGTCACGTGTCACGAAGGTACACAATTACGTCACTCGGTCTACCTATTATCACTATACACCTTCATACCGGAACACCGAGTCAGTCATGACAGACTGAACATGTGACTTAGACGGGTGCTTGCCCCGCCCTACCCTCTCCCCTCAGTTGACAGCTGCAACGGCGGGGCACGCCTCTTCCTGTTATGGGCGGGGCCCGGTACGGTCGCTGGAGACATCGCCATTGTAGGCGGGCAGCGCTGGGTGACGGGACCGGGAAGGAGCTGCAGGCCGCCACCGCCTCACCGGATAGCTCGCTCGGGACCGGCTTCGGGGGGCAGCGTGACAATGTCTATGGATAGCAGCAAGTTCGCCCATCTGTCCCTTACTCAGCTCAATGAGCTGCTGGAGGATGACGCCAAGCTCGGGCAGATGGCCCAGGAGATGGACGAGGTGGGTGGCTGAGGGGAGGGGGCGCCTGTGGGCACCAATTAGAAGTGTGCTGAGGACACTGCTGAGTGTGTCCTGGAATGGAAGGTGCTGTACGTCTGTGTGATACTGGCAGGTTTGTGTATGAGCTCCTGTCTTCCAATCTGTCACCTCATCATCATCTATGCTCAGTGATGTCTTATGTTACAGGGAAAATCCCACTGCCTTGTTTTTTGAAAGGTAAAATAATCTTAGGGGGGTGACATCCTTTAAGGGCCCACACCTTCTAGACCAACGCAGACTCAATGCCAGGGCATATAGAAAACAATTGTTCACATCATATTGCACCTCATGTTACCCCAAGTCACCGCACTGCCAAAGAGCTGCATAGCATACATGTCCATAAAATGTCATTTGTGACTTGTAAATAAAGTTAGAAAAAAGAAAGTGCCGCCCCTCACTGTCATTATACTACAGACACCTGTTTCAGTGTGGCCCTGCAAACCATCCCTAAACTGTATCTCTAGATTTGGATGGTGTGGAGAAGGGTTAGACCAGCAGTGGGCAGACTCTGGCCCTCCAGCTGTTGTGGAACTACAAATCCCATGAGGCATTCCAAGATTCTCACCTACAGGCATGACTCCCCAGAGCATTATGGGATTTGTAGTTTCACCACAGCTGGAGGGATGGAGTTTGCTCACCCTTGAGTTAGACCCTCTTTTAGGTTTTTATTGCAGGGTCCCCTTTTGGGGAGACTTGCCCCCTATTTGTACTGATGACCATTTTCACCAAGAAAGACCGTGAGGGGAAATTCTAGCTTTGTCCCCAGAACAAGAGGTGAGAGGAAATCTTCTAATGGGGACACCTGCCTTATAGGGGATTTCCCCTCACCTTGGGAGATTTCCTCTTGGGGACAGGAAGTGAAGGATCTCTTTAACAGTTCATAGACTGCAAACAAAAAAGTAACCTGACGGGTTTTAACCCTTCCCTACTCACCCAGAACCAAGTTTCGGCTATAGATACACTAGCATTTCTGTCATGTGTCTGTATTTCACATTTGTAATGTACTCTTTGTTCATACAGGGTGTGTACAATTTCATGAGGCAGTGATTAGGAAATGTAGACATGGCGGAGGAAATGAGCAGAACAAGGCAGTCTAGGTATTGAGTCCTCCTTCCTGGCGACAGATACTGAAATGAGGCGACGCGTGTAAGATCTTGTTAGCAGTGTCCTGTGTGTGGACGGCTCCTTATCTGTGTGATTGGAACGTGTGTGATATACACTAATTGTTTGGATCTAGTTTGTCAGGTTTTTTTTATTGCTGCCTGTGGCCCTATTGGTGAGGCAATTGCTCTCACTTCCTGCTGATCATACAAAAAGTGATGGTGATTTCCCCGGAATAAAATGTGATCGGGTGCTAGATTTTGTTTGACTTCAATAATAGGGAGCAGGAAAGTCCAGTATGAATTACCAACAATTGTCCCAGGTACATCATCTGACAACCAGACAAGGCATTGCACAATACGATATAGAGTAGACACCATTGGGTAAGGCCTCGTTCACATGGGTGGCAGGCTCCACTGCCCCTCTGAAATGTGATTCATGATGGATCACTTCTCAGGAGGCGGTAGAGCAGCAGCTGTCCACCATTCAGGAGGTGATACTGACGCCTCCTAAATGTTATATATATAATTTTTTTTTTTTTTTTTACTCCATTGGGGATTTTCAATAGCAATACCTCTCCTCCATCACGTACCCATACAAATGTGGTGTGTTCCCATTAATTGCAATGGTCACATTTGGCAGGTGGTACCAAAGCATTGTGGGCATGGCATGTCCTGAGCGGCCGCTATTTTAGGTGGACAGTTGGGGTGGCAAAAATGTTGATCAACCACCTGTTTATACCGCCCCTTTGCCACCCATCTGAACGAGGCATAAGACCAGTTCAGAGTAAATCTATGCCGAGGTAAGAAATGATCGTCATGATTTGCTGGTCTCCACACGCAGTGCTGCTCTACTTCATAAACGGGTGCCAGCTCATCACTGATGAACTCGATATCAAGAAATGGATGGCTGCACTCCAAAATAAATATGCAGCTTCTTTATTTGGTCAAAACTTGCCATCAGAAATCCTACAAGCAGAGACTTTGTTTACATGTTTGGTGCTCCCTGGCTCAGTCATAGAGCAAAATGTAGAAGTCTCCTAGTATTTCCAGTGTCAACTTTTGAACAGTATAGTCTTACTTGAAATTTGGTGTCCTTTGTGTATTCTGCCAGATCTGTGCAGTAATCCGGTGTGAAACTTGACCTCTGTGGCAGAGCTTTCGGTGATAAAGACCAATCACTACTGTTCGCTCTCTGTGCAGGGTGACTGTTGTGTTCTCTTATTTTCTGCAGGCAGCCTGTAGACAGCACAGTGATGTCACTACTACTTTTATATGATAATATCTGGGTATGTAAAGGTACTTGCTGCACACAGATTGGTTTTATATTATCTGTGACTAGTGAGCAATATATTTAGATTCAAGTTTTCGTGCCAGGGATTTAGCTTTTACTTTTGGATAGAGGAAGAAAGGGTTATACGTTGTATTGCTGTCTCTCCATTGGAGGTATTACTCTTCACTTCCTGTGTGGTCTCTGTTGCAGGAAGCTAACAATACAATAATAACTATCTGGTAGTCAGTGTAGCCCGTTATCTTTCTCTTTCCACCCACCCCTTTCCTCCGACTGCACACCCAGCAAATTCCATTTATTTCCCTGCAGTCTTCCTCCTGCACTTTGCATACAAACATTCATACAGAACATTCGATAATGCCAGCAGGGACTTGGTGAATGCTGTTATAACATTTTGGTTTGGTTTTCACATTAGAATTTGGAATGAACAGTGTTTCCTGAACAATTACCACATTCACTGATAAAAAGTATTTTTTCCGTCACTACAGTCGAGAACAATTGTCGGTTTCACCCCATTAACTATTAGAAATCGAACAATGTTCTGAAAAAACAATTTTCCCAACAAAATTCTACTGCTGTATGGCCAACTTTACTTCCTCTTTCTACCATTGTTTCTCCTTCCTGGACATCTCTGATGACACCATAAGTGGGATAACCTCCAGTTTTGGATATGTCAACAGACCTGCAAGTCAGTATCAATAAATGGATGACTGCACTCCAAAATAAACATGCTGCTTCTTTATCTGTTCAAAAGGTGGCGTCAGAAATACATGAAGAGGAGACTTGCGTGTTTTGCAGTCATGAAATGTGTCAATGAAGTCTCTGCTTGTTGTATATAAACATACCTTATATTGCCAAAAGTATTGGGACGCTTGCCTTTGCACGCACATGAACTTTAATGGCATCCCAGTCTTAGTCCGTAGGGTTCAATATTTATGTAGCCCACCCTTTGCCGCTATAACAGCTTCAACTCTTCTGGGAAGGCGTCCACAAGGTTTAGGAGTGTGTCTATGGGAATGTTTGACCATTCTTCCAGAAGCGCATTTGTGAGGTCAGGTACTGATGTTGGACGAGAAGGCCTGGCTCGCAGTCTGCGCTCTAATTCATCCCAAAGGTGTTCTATCTGGTTGAGGTCAGGACTCTGTGCAGGCCAGTCAAGTTCCTCCACCACAAACTCACTCATCCATGTATTTCTGGACCTTGCTTTGTGCACTGGTGCACAATCATGTTGGTGCAGGAAGGGGCCATCCCCAAACTGTTACCACAAAGTTGGGAGCATGAAATTGTCCAAAATGTCTTGGTATGCTGATGCCTTAAGAGTTCCCGTCACTGGAACTAAGGGGCCAAGCCCAACCCCTGGAAAAACAACTCCACACCATAATCCCCCCTCCACCAAACTTTACACTTGGCACAATGCAGTCAGGCAAGTACCGTTCTCCTGGCAACTGCCAAACCCAGACACGTCCATCGGATTGCCAGACAGAGAAGAGTGATTCGTCACTTCAGAGAACACGTCTCCACTTCTCTAGAGTCCAGTGGCGGCGTGCTTTACACCACTACATCTGACACTTTGCATTGCACTTGGTGATGTAAGGCTTGGATGCAGTTGCTCGGCCATGGAAACCCATTCCATGAAGCTCTCTACGCACTGTTGTACCAATCTGAAGGTCACATGAAGTTTGGAGGTCTGTAGCTATTGACTCTGCAGACAGTTGGCGACTTCTGCGCACTGTGCGCTTCAGCATGCGCTGACTCCGCTCTGTCATTTTACGTGGCCTACCACTTCGTGGCTGAGTTGCTGTTGTTCCCAGTTGCTTCCACTTTGTTATAATACTACTAACAGGTGACTGTGGAATATTTAGCAGCAAGGGAGTGTCACGGATGGACTTATTGCTCAGGTGACAACCTATCAGGATACCATGCTTGAGTTCACTGAGCTCCTGACAACGACCCATTCTTTCACAGATGTTTGTAGAAGCGTCTGCATGCCTACGTGGTTTTTTTTTTTTTGTTTTTTTTTTACACCTGTGGCCATGAAGGTGATTGGAACACCTGAATCCAATGATTCGGAGGGTTGTCCCAATGCTTTTGGCAATATAGTGTACCTCTTAAGCTGGCCATACACCTGCCGGTTATCATACGATAATCGCTGGAAATCCCGCGATCGTACGATAGTCGGCAGGTGTATGGAAGGCGTGCGACCGTTCCTACTGTATGGTCGCACGTCTTTTGTCTTACGAGCACGTTGAAAAACCAGCCGAAAAGCGTAAGATTTTCGGCGGGTTTGTGGCATGCTCGTAAGACAAATGGCACACTGCCGCTTTGCATTGCAGTCATCGGAAGCCCTCCCCTCAGCGAGGCGGGCTTGCGCTGATCGCAAGTACGATCTGCCTGTCCAGGATGGGCAGATCGTACGAGCTTTTAATTACCTTACAGCCATCGCAAGACAAAACTCCGACGGTGTTAGTCCGCATTCACACCTGCACGTTCCGTGATTGCATGCATTTGGCGCGTTCATAGAAACATGGCAAAACGTGCAATGCTCTTGCATTGCCATGAGTTTCTAATGG